ACATATGATGTTACTCATGGTGTGTGGTGGCTTATCTTGTGTTTTTTATGTCTATATGTGTATTGTGGAAAAAAAAGGAGTACCTAAAAAAAAAAAATATCTCTTGAAGCTTTAGGGTTGAAACCCCCTTTGTCAGGCTGAGGAAGTACCTGCACTTGGTCCTGGATGGAAGGAATAGTAAAGAAGCCAGAGGCTGGCCTGGCCCACAATGCAGGCAAGAAAAAGCCAGTCAGTGAAAATGGAAATGGAGGCGTCAGAGGGGGAGGGGGATGTAGCAGTGCAGGTAAAAGTGTGGAGGTGCCTGGGGTGTCAGATGCCCGGCAGGTCACAGCATGCCAGAATTCGAAGTGCAGTTCACAGGCCCAGCTCTGAAAAATGGTTTGTACATTCACACAAGCACCTAACCTCATCACCAGAACTGAAGCCAACTTCTTACACCTCAAAACTTGCCAACTATCTCCAGTACCCCAAAAAACTGCACACCAGAATCTATCGAAAACAACAATACCCAACTACCTGTGGGGGCACATTCCTCACCAAAAAAACTCTGCCTCCAGTCTCTCAGGCCTGATCCTGAGAGGGAACAAATTACAATCTGACACCCCAGGCACCTCGGCACTTTTACCTGCGCTGTTACATCCCCCACACAGCCTGTCCCTCCCCCCCGACGCCTCCATTTCCATTTTCACTGACTGGCTTTCTTGCCTGCATTGTGGGCCAGGCCAGCCTCTGGCTTCTTTACTATTCCTTCTATCCAAGACCAACTGCAAGTACTTCCTCAGCCTGACAAAGGGGGTTTCAACCCTAAAACTGGCATCCTGGGCAGCGAAGCTGAGCTGAACGGGAGCCTCACAACTGCACTGCAACCAACACATCAGGCCTGTCAAAGACATGACAGGTCTGGGTGTTCCCCATCCAGGACTTTGTGCATGCATGCATTAGCTGGAGGTTATGGCGCCTCCTACCTGCCTTTCACCAGGAGCTCGTTGGTCCTGGCATTTACGGGGCTGCCACGCTGCCAGCAGTCCCACCAGGCCTCCCTACCCTGGCAGGGTGCAGTTTTAGTGGTCATGCCCAGACCCTGGGGCCTTCTCCTCCCCCATAGCCCCAATCCCATACCTCCAAGTTCGTCCTGGGAGGTGAATGAGCTCAGCAGGGACATGTTCTTTCCCTGCTGGCTAGTGATGCAGTTAGTGCCCCCTCCAGCTGAGAGCAGGGCTTTACTCAGCTTTTAAACAATTCAAAAAAGGAAACTGGTGCAGACGGAGTGAGGAGGGTGGCACTCAGTCTGTCTGCAGGTGGAGCTTGGGGAACCCCAGCAGCGGGAGGTTCACCTTTAGGAACACCAGCTGCTCCACCAAGGTAGGATCCAAGCAGGTGCAGTGGGGTGTCACAACATCCCCAGTAATGCTGAACAACCTCTCACTTGGAACACTGGTCGGTGGATGGAACAGGTGTTGCCGGGCAACAATGGCCAGATCCTGTCACACCTGCCTGCAGTTTGCCCAGTAGGCCAAGGCATTGCAGTCCAGTGGCTCCACATCCTTAGCGAGATAGATAGTCACTGAAGCCTTAGTGCTACCTGCCCGAGGCTGGGGTCTGGTGCGTTTGGACCCCAGCATTGAAGCCGTGCCCATGGCCTACATTGGCAGTGGCTGGTGTGGAGGAGACTGGCTGGTGGTGGGAGTACTGGCACAGGAAAGTGGATCCCCCTCTTCCACATCCCCTTGCCTCTGCACTTTGGCCTCCCTGACTTTGTTCACCAGCACCCGTGTCCAGTGATCAAGGGTTTTGGGGCTGCCAGTGCCCCCTCGGGTTCCATATGCCCGCCATCATGTGGACCATACTGGACCGGAAGGGATTCAGCCGTCTCCTGATGCTCTCCTTCAGCCGCTTCACTAGTGCCTGCACATCTGGTGACAGTGGCCTGCCCCAGCCAGGAACACTGATCCCCTGGAACTTCTCCATTTGGTTCTCCAGTTCCCTTACTAGGGGGATCACCTTGCTGAGGAGGGCATCACCAGCGCTAAAGGTCTCAGTGGCCTCGAGGGATGGGCTTGAGGATGACCAAGATCTGGGAGATGGTACTTCACTCAGCTCTGTTCAGGGGGCCACTGATCCTAATCTCCTCAAGCAAGGTCATCTCATGGATGACCTTCTGTTGCTCCACCAAACTTTCAAACATCAGGTATGTGGAGTTCCACTGAGTCTCCACATCCTGTATGATTCTGTGCTGCGGGATACTCAGCTCTGCCTGTCTCTCCCACAGCATCTTGCCCCCCTTGATGCTGCGGTGGAAGTAGCCTGCCACCTTCCTGCATTTTGAAATCGGCTGGCTTGTAGCAGTACTGGTGGCGGTGCTATCAGCAGCAACCCTGTCCCCCTCTAAGGCATCCTGCACTATTAGGTGTAGTCTGTGTGCCACACAGCAGATGCCAAAAAAGTTGGCATCATGGACAGCCTTCACCATATTGGCCCCGTTGTCGGTGACCACGAACCCGCCGGTGAGCTCGGCCTGCCCAATGAGCCACCCCTGCACCATGTGATTCATGGCCCCCATAGTCTCCCTTGCTGTGTGGGACTCATCCAGCACCTTGGCTTTCAGAAGAGCCCATCAATGGCCTGACTGAGTGCGCCAGTGCCCTGTGAGGAAGAGGGAGGCGACATCGCCACCCCAGCTTCTTCGGATGTCGGAGGTGAAGTGAAAGGATACCTGCAGCCCTGCCTTTCGCAGCTTCTCCCTCAAGTACTCCCTGCATGCCTCATACAGGGAGGGCACCACTGCCCTGCTAAAGGTGGTGCGTGTGGGCACTTTGTAAAATGGGGCCAGACGTGCTATGAACTGCCTGAACCCTGGCTGCTCAACCAGGGAGAAGGGCTGGCTATCCAGAGCAAGCATCTTCCCAATGTTCTGGGTGATCTCGCTTGCCTTGGGTATGTACCCCCCTTTCTGTCCACCTTTTCCCCACTGGTCCAGGGTGGCCTGCCTCTGCTTTGTCAGCAAGGGGGATTTGGAGCGAGCAGGGGACTTCCCTTTCCGCACGTTCGCTCTGGTGCCAGGCTGAGCAGGAAGAAGGGCAAGGAGGTGGTGCCTCCTCAGATGCAGCAGCATTGCCGTGGTGGAGAAGTGTCTTGCGTCCTTACCACAGCTCATGTGCCTTCGGCAGTGCTGGCAGATGGCAAACCTGGGATCATCTGCCACCTCAAAATGATCCCACACTACATTACTCCTCCCCGCTTCTGGGTTGAGGGTAAGGATCCTGCCTTTTCCCCCTTCTCAGCCAGCTGAGGCTGAACAGCAGGAAGAGCTGCCTCAGCTGAGCCACTTGCCTCCACAACCTCAGCCTCCTCCGAGGTGCTGCTTTCCAGAGGAGATCTGGGTCTAGGAGAAATTTGAAGGGTGTGGAGCACAAACTCTGATTCCCCCTCAGTCCCCAGAATTGCCTGAGGCAGCGCACTCAGCATCCCTGGTTCCAGCTCTAGCTCCTCCTCTGGCAGTGGGAGGCTCACGATGAAAGATGACATTGGGGTGGAGGAGGCAGTGATTCCACTGCTGGTGCCCACTTCTGGGCTGAGGGGAGGTGGTGCAGGTGCAGGGACGTCAGGTGCAGACACTGCTCCCACCTCCTGGCTTCCACGGGCAGCACTGATGTCATGGCTGCTTGGGAATAGAATGCGTCTGTGTTTGAGGGGGCAGGGCTTGCAGCTCTAGCTCTCCTCCTACCCCCTCTCCCTCCCCTGCCAGAAGGCCTGGCACCTACCTTTCCAGCACGCTTTCTATTGATCTTTCCTGTGCTGTAAAAGGTCTGTGTCTGTGTGTGAATCCTTTTGTATTGTACGTTTTATTCCCTCTGTTGCGTGCATGCACTGGCCTCTTCTTTGAATGTTTGCTTTGGTGTTAAGGGTTATGTAAAAATTGTGTGCTGTCTGTCTTCTGCTATGAATATCTGATTTTTTTTCCTATATTGTGTCTCTCTGTCTCTCTCTGTCTCTGTGCGTGCGTGCATGCATGCAAGCAATCTGTGCCTCCCTGCACAGTGATAGATCACACTGGCTGAATAAACACATCTTTCTTTTTGCAAATTTTGCAAAGTTTCCACAAAAAAAAGGGCAAATATAAATTCAAAGAAATAAATTGAATTGCAATACTAATAATAATAGCTCAGCTCAACTCAGCACAGCTCTTCTGAGCTGAGCTCGGCTCAACCCACTCCTTTGTAACAAGAAAAAGGACCAGGCAAGTTTGACTAGTACTGAGCCACAAGGTCTCAGTCTAAGCGTTCATGTCTCACAAAGGTCCTGACAGGCACCAAGTTGTGAAAGGGTACCGAATGCCTCAAACCAGAGGCTTTTATGCTGTTTCCAGTCCCACCCCACAGATGCTGCCATTGGAAAGGCAGGCAGTGAGAAATCCTTCTCACTGTCTACCTACAGATGTCAGTCTTCCCCCCCTCCCCCGCTTCCCTTCCTCCCACTCTCCGTCCCTTCCCCACTTCCCCTCCCTCTTCTAATTGTCAATCAAGATGTCTGGAGTGGGTCCGGTGTACTTCGGACGCACCAACCCGCTTCGGATAACTTTGCTGAGGCCCTGAGTTGATCCAGACATGCCACTTCGGATGCCAAAGTGCCGAACCCTCACTCTCTACAGTCTGACCATGGACTAAAATTCCTTTTTGACCCCAAATAATGGCAATCATTCTGACCCTGTGCAGATGGGCAAGACCCTTCAGCCAGGAGCCTATGGCTTTGGTCCCAGCAAGAGCATTGGCACACCCAGTCAAAGTCCCCAGTCTTGGGTGTAGCCAACGTCCAATGCCTTTGGGAAGGCTTAAAAAAACACTTGTAGCTGGGATCAGAAAAAGCTCTCTCTATCTTTTCCAAACAGCCCACCATATGAACAGGAGGTGGAGTTTTCAACTTGGCTGACACGGTCCATCATTATCACAAAGGAGGCTTAATTACAGCTTTGGAAAATCCCTGGGTCCGACATTGTGTGGTACCTTTATGCGATAGCTCAGCAAAGGATATTTGCTTCCACAGGCAGGAAGAGTGTCTCTGTTTCTGTTAAAATTTCAATACGACAGGAAATTTCTCCAGGGCCTTCAGTACCTTCTTTTCCAATCACCATGGCATAAATCTCAATCTCCAGTTCAACCTGCAATCCTGCTGCCACCTGGTAGAAACAAAAGAATCATGCACAGGCAGTAGTAACAATACAAGGGTAAAACTGTCATTATGCCTTATAAGTGATGACACAAATATATGGGGCTGATGTCATCTTCCTGGACTTTAGGAAGGCCTTCAACACAGTTTTGCACCCTTTTCTCATTGGGAAGCTAGCAGACTGTGGAGTGGATGCCTACATGGTCAGGTGGGTGGCCAACTGGCTTAGGGACCGCACCCAGAGAGTGGTGGTGGATGGTTCCTTCTCGGCCTGGAGGGAGGTGGGCAGTGGGGTCCCGCAGGGTTCCGTCCTCAGACCGATATTATTTAATATCATCATCAGCGACTTGGACAAGGGCGTGGAGAACACCCTCTCCAAGTTTGCTGCTGATACCAAGTTATGGGGCAAAGTTAGTACACCGGAGGGCAGGGAGCAGGAGGCAGGGTTGGATCAAGGTTGACAGGGTAAGTACACTGGAGGGCAGGGTTGGATTAATGGGCAGAGAGAAATAGGATGCAATTTAATAAAGATAAATGTAAGGTACTCCACCTGGGAAGGAGGAATCCCCAGCACACCTTTAGGTTGGGGAGTGTCCTTCTCAGCAGCTTGGAGGCAGAGAGATGAACATGAGCCAGCAGTGTAACGAGGCCATCAATAAGGCCAATCGCACCTTGTCGTGCATTAGCAGGTGCATGACTAATAGAACAAAGGAGGTGACGCTCCCCCTCTATGTGGCACTGGTCAGGTCGCCGTTGGAGTGCTGTGTCCAGTTTTGGGTGCCACACTTCAAGAGGGACGCAGGGAATCTCAAGAGGGTCCAGAGGAGGGCCACTCGCATTATTAGTGGCCTTTGTGATAGACCCTACAGGGGGAGGTTGACAGAGCTGAATCTCTTCAGCCTTCACAAGAGATGGCTGAGGGGAGATCTTGTGGCCGCCTATAAATTTATTAGGGGAGGTCAACGGCGAATAGGGGAAGCGCTGTTTACTAAGGCACTCCAGGGAGAGACTAGGAATAATGGGTGTAAACTAGTTGAGAATGGATTTAGGTTAGATATTAAGAAAAAAATGTTCACAGTAAGGGTGGCCAGGTTCGGGGGGGGGCTTCCAAGAGAGGTGGTGCTATCACCTAGCTTGGAGGTCTTCAAGAGGAGGCTAGATAGTCACCTGGCTGGGGTCATCTGACCTTGGTCCTCTTTCCTGCCAGGGGCAGGGGGTCGGACACGATGACCCATTGCGGTCCCTTCTGACTCTACAATCTATGAATCTATGAACCATGACCGCTTTGTCCCACTGGTATCTGCTTTCACTCCTGTCACAAATTTTCCTTTGCAGTAAACTGGATGCTGTCATTTGATTTTGGTCTATCCATGCTTAATGGAATCAGAAGACCTACCACTTAACACTCAGTACACTTTCTCCCTGATGTGGAAGACTATTTAATATGTGACTCTTCAGACACACACATCCTGGAACATGTGTATAGGCACCTTTGTGGCATCTTGTACTCCACAGGCGGGAGGAAAAGGTGATGAAGGTAAACCTCACAGCCTCTCACTTCTCCAATATTAGGCCTCAGTTACCTCAATTATCTACCACCCATGTCCCCATACCAACATTGTAGGAGCCTCCTGGGAAAATTTTTCGAAGCTTTGAGGGCCAATATGAAACTGCCTGAAAACAAAGGATGTTCTGCTGAAAGGTACATAGGCTGTACACAACTTACAGGCCCTGGTGTGTAAATCACTCTTAGGCCAGTGCTGGGAGGTGGCTGCTTCACCCGAAACCTGTAGGAGAATAAAGACAGTCAGTCTGCCATTTGGAACAACTCAGGACATATGGAAGAAGCGGTAGGGGAGCAGCGAGGTCATAGCTCCTACACATATACAAATGATACCAGGACTTTCCAAATCTTCCACTTCATCATCACGTACTGGTTGTGGACATATTTCTGGGCTTCTGGTCCACACTGAATGTAGCCAGGCAGCTCTGCACCTGAGGTAGGCAGCGCTGTACCTGGGGCAGCGCTGGCTCCTGTGGTGCTGATCAAAGAGGCATAATCAGTTGTTGCTGTGCTGGCAGCTATTTTTGCAGGTTAGTCTGTGAGCAGGGAAGGGCGAGGGCAGATCGAGGTGGAGGGAGAAAAGATTATTTGGGTGCGTGCCCCCCCCCCCCCCCGCAAAAAAAACGGTAAGTCTGAGGGAAGGGGCGGGGGGAGAGAGAAGGGCTGTGGAGGGGTGGGGAAAATCGAGGCTCCAGTGGTGAGAGAGGGAGCTGGGCACAGGCAGGAGCAGGGGCTGGGGGGAGTGGACCTGGTGTGGCCGGGTAGTGGGACAAGCAGAGGCCTACGGGCACGTGTTCCCAGCCCTCCGCATGTCCCCCCAGCCCCTGCTTCTATTGTGCCTGGCTCCCTCCCTCACTGCTGGGGCCTCAATCAACACCCCCCAGTGGTGAGTGTGAGGGAGTGGAGCAGGAGCAGCTCATCTGGGGGTTGCACCGGGGGGGTATGGGGGCATGTGCCCCACTATCTACACGTGGAGCGGGGCAGGCTGGGGCTGAGGCAGCACCAGGCTCTTCCTAGCACAGCTCTTCTGCCACGCGGCTCTCAGGCCAGGCGGCAGCATTGGTGGCACTGGAAGTGGGGCTGCAGGCACCTGAAAACTTTCTGTAGCCGCCCCGTCCCCTCTGTGCCACGGCTGCCGCCCCCCCTGAGAGCCACATGGCAGAATAGCCATGCTGGGAAGAGCCTGGCACTGCCCTGCCCCCAACCTGCCCCACCCCATCCCGTGTGCAGATACGGGGTCATGCACCCCCCCACCCATGCCCTCCCGGGCTGTGTCCTCCCCTCTCCATGGGCTCAGGCTCCCTAGACTGAGATTGACTGTCAGAGGCTCCACGACTGACTAGTCAATCGGGATAGACCGGTTGGTGATCATTGATGTAAAGGGACCAGAGGTGCATAACTCTCAAACCTCATTAGCCACTTCCTACTTCCTTGAGATCAAACACAAGGCAATTGTCCATTTAAGCCTTGTATCAGTGGTGTATGCTGTAGCTTTCAGCACCTGGGATGGAGTTTGGGACTTAGGATGAGCACAGTTTTTGTATAGTAGCAGTGTGAACAGAGGCAGGGGTTGCCTAACCAGAAAGGCTAGGCTAGTTAGAACCCAGTGACACCAGGACCAGCAAACAGAACAGTAAACAGGTATGTTTGCTGGGGACTTTGCCCAAGCCCTTTTCTTATGTTTCTTTCATTGTAAGCCTGCTGAGTGGAGGCAGGTAAAGGAGGAAGAGGGAGTTTTCCAGGAAGTAGCAGCAGAGGATGAAGGAGGAGCTAGCAGGACAATCAACAGAATGGCTTCTGTCACTGCCAGCTCTTCTTCTGCCTGTACCTGTGTGGGCTCTGTCCTGGCACAGCCACCAACCACAGAGGTTCTACCCACGTTCTGGTCTGGCTTTGCAGGGGCTGCAGTCTGCATTTCCTTGATAAAGACATCCAGGTGGGGGTGTGCCTGTGCTGTGAGAGGTGCCTCCTGGTGGATTCTTTCAGGAATCAGGTAAAGGAGCTGCAGGAAGTGGTGGATAGGCTCAGAAGCAACTGTGAGCAAATGGCCTTCATTGACTCAATACATAGAAACCCCCAGCTTCTTGGAAAAGGAACAGCCAAAGAAGGCATTGGAAGAAACAAAAGACAGATATTCAGGAGGGTGGAAGCTGGCAGCTTATCACCTCTGGCAGCAGACAGCACTCCTCTTCTGAAACCTGTGGCAGTCCAGCTGGAGAACAGGTATGAAGCCCTAGCATTGCAGGAGAGGGAGCCTACTCCAGTGCCATGGGAGGCCAAAGACCATATCTTTAGGGGTGGAAGGATTGAGACCACTGCTGCCAAGAGGAAACCACAGGTGGTGGTTGGCAGCATGATGTTGAAGGATAGCCAACATGGTTTCATTGAGGACAGATCATGTCTGACAAACCTCATCTCCTTCTATGATTAAGTAATGCACTGCTTAGATGTGGGAGACATGGTTGTTGTTATAGACTTGGATTTTAAAAAGGTCTTTGATATGGTCTCCCATGACACTTATAAAAAAAAAAAACCCAACAACTGGGGGATTGTGAGATGGCAAAGTCCATGGTCAGGTGGGTTGGGACCTGGCTAAGGGGTTGAACCCAGACAGTGTTAGTGGATGGGTCTGTATCATCTTGGCAGGAGGTGACCAGTGCTGTCCTGTAGGGTTTGGTTCTTGGCCCCATGCTGTTCAACATCTTTATCAATGATTTCGATGAGGATGGGGAAAGCACACTTGCTAAGTTTGTGGATGATACTAAGTTATGGGGAAAAGCAGTTACACTAGGGGATAGTGTAGGGGAACAGAGCTAATAGCATACTGGGATACATTAGCCAATGCATCGCAAGCAGGGCTAAAGAAGTGATACTTCCTCTCTACTCAGCATCGGTGAGACCCCAGCTAGAGTACTGTGTCCAGTTCTGGGAGTCCCACTTCAAAAAAAGATGTGGAGAATCTTGAAAGGGTCCAGAGAAGGGCCACAAGAATGATTAAGGGCCTGGAGGACAAATCTTATGAGGAAAGACTAAGGGATCTGGGACTGTTCAGCCTGGGAAAGAGAAGACTGAGGGGGGACTAGGCCATTTATAAGTATGTAAGGTGTGAATAGTGGGAGCTGGGAGACAAACTGTTCTCTAGAGCACCCCAGGGTAGAACAAGGAGCAATGGCCATAAATTGTTAGAGAATGGTTTTAGGATGGATGCAAGGAAGAACTTCTTCATGGTAAGGCAGGCCAGAATCTGGAATAGACTTCCCAAGGAAGTGGTGCAGTCCCCACCCTTGGAAGTCTTCAAGAGGACACTGGACAGACACCTTGCTGGGATCATTTGATCTCAGCAGTATTCCTGCCCAGAGCAGGGCGGGTTGTACTCGATGATCTTTCAAGGACCCTTCCAGCCCTTAACTTTTATGATTTCTATGAACCAGTCCTCCTCCTTCCTTTGCCCCTGGATCCCCTCTTGGACCTCACTAACCCAAACCGGGTCTGTTCATAGTTGGGCCTTCCTGGCCTATATATGCCTTGAGGGACCCATTGCCTTATTACGTGGCTCCAAACTGCTCCTTACACCCCTCCCATGCCTCACAGATGTAATTTGTCCAACCAGTCCCTTATAGGGACCACGCCCTGCTTGGTTCTGCTCCTTTTCTCTGATTTGGGCCAGAAGTTCTGCTCCTTTTCTATGGTTGGGCCGCTTAGCTCAGGATCCACAGGGTCAGACCCGGCTTCTGGGCTCCAACCTTAGCCTTCCCCTATTGGTCTCTGGTTTAGCCCCCCTCAGGCTTTGGGCCTCTGGCCCTATCTTTGCCCTGCTCTGGGTACTTAGCCACTGTCTTTTTCCTACTCAGACACTGGGCCTTCTGGTCCCAGGATCTACTCCTTTTTGGGCTTGCTGGCCTCGCAGGCATGTGACTATGCCTTAAGCCTGACCCCAGTGGGGCTCAAGGCAATTACATGCTCCTAGGGCACTAATGAAACCTCCAAAACTACCCCTGAGTCCCCTCCACAAACCACCAATCAAACAGTAAGTTATATCCTGGTGCTTTGCAGTGAGGCTTCTCTTACCCAGGTGTAGCAGGCCCACTATCATGCTAGAAGCCCTGAGAGCAACTCTGGGGTCAGCCTGGCATCCCCCTGCAGCCCTCCTAGCCAGGAGCTCTTCATCTTAAGGTGTGCAGGGCTAGGCTCCCTGGCTTTCATCAACCCCAGGCTTCTATGCTATCTCCAGGTATAGCATGCTTACAGTTGATCTTCACCAGGTAGCTCCCCCCAGGACTCCTTGTCCTTCTGCTTACAAAGATAGACTGTTGGTTCTGGCTCTGGTCAGGGCTTATGATGCTCAGAGCCCTGCCCCCTTCTGGTCATGTACTTTATTAGCTGGCCTGCTGGCAAGGCTGCTTATTAACCTTAGCCTGACTGGCTGCCTTTATCCAGTTCACAAAAACCCTTCCCTTAAAAGGGTCATTTGACTTTTCCATAACAGAGTAAGGATTCCCTGTTACCCTGGCTACATACCCATCCCTTCAATGAGATGAAACTCAAAACGAAATCCTACAAAGAGTGGAAACTTGCATCATATTACTAGGGAAGAGTATAAGAGCACTGCACGGGGATGCAGAGAGAAAATGGGGTAGATGAAGATATGATTTGAGATGCAACTGGCAAGGGACACAAAAGAAAATAAAATGGCATTCTGCAAGTAGGTTAAGAGCATAAGGAAGACCAAAGAAACCGTAGATCTCTTATGGAATGCAGAAGGAAATCTAGTTACAGATGATGCAAAGAAGGCTGAAGTATTTAATGCCTTTTTTACTTCAGCCTTAACACATAGGGGCAGCTACCAGAAGATCAGTGCAGTTGTCAGTAAAGACAAGTAAGGAATACACCTTTATAGACTAAAGGCACCCCTTGCTAAACTCAAGGCACCCTTTGGAAAATGTCAGCTCTTAGTTTTCATTTGACTTTTGATCACAGAAAAATTAATAGAGTAATCCTTTTGTTGCAAAGAACTCAGGAAGACCACAACAGTTTTTAATACCATGCTTTTAATACCATGGTTTTTCTATTTGAAATCTTTGAATTTATCTTGTGAATCATGTCTCCACGTGTAACAGTGCTAACATTGCTTGACATCCCACAGAACCCTTAAAAGGATATCTCAAAACATCCTAGGGTGCTGTGGCATCCTGATTGAGAATCACTAGTCTAGAATAAAGCAGAACAGATTAAGGATTACTTAGGGATGCTAGATCGGGGCAGGCAAAGTCTGGCCTGTGGGCTGGATCAGACTCACGGCAGATTCCCTTTCCCAGCAGTCCCTGCCCGTGTTGCTGCAGCCGGTTTCCATGGAGACCCCAGTAGCGGCAGCACCATGACAGCATGGGGCCAGGGTTTCCATGGAGACTGGCCTCAACAGTGTTGGCAGGGTGTGCAGCTGAGTGGGGAGCTGCTCTGGGGCTGGGATCTTGCAGCACTGACAGCATGGTCTGGAGCTGGGGCAGAGCTACAATCTGTTGTCTGTATGCCCCTGCCCAGGCTGTAACCACTGCACAATCCAAGGCCCGGTCCCAGAGCCACTTTCCAGCCAACCAGGCACCCTGCCAGCACTGTTGGGGCTGGTCTCCATTGAAACTCTGTCCCTGCACTGTCCCGGCTCTGCCACTCCTGTGGTCTCCATGGAAATCGGCAGCAGCAATGCACATCCAGTCCAGCCACTGGTTGGATCCACCATTTTGCCCACCCCTGTGCTAGATGCTTTCAAGTCAGCAGGGCCAGATGAGTTGTACCTTAAGGTAATGAAGGAATTGGCTGAGGCAAGCTCAGAGCCACTAGCTATGCCGTCTGGGAACTTGTGGAGGTTGAGTGAAGTCCTGAATGATTGGAAAAGGGAAAATATAGTGCCCATCTTTAAGAAAAGGAAGAAAGTGTGTCTGAGGAATTACAGACCAGTTAGTCTGACCTGAATACTTGGAAAAATCATGGAATCTGTAATCAAGCACTTAGAGAACAAGGTGATCAGGAACAGCCAACATGGATTCACCAAGAGCATGTCATGCCTGACCCACCTGATTTCCTTTTATGATAAGGTGACAGGCTCTGTGGATGTGATATATCTTGACTTTTTAGCAAGGCTTTTGACATGGTCTCCCACAACCTTCTCATTAACAAGATAATAAAAAACAGACAAGACAAAAATACTGTACGGTGGACACATAACTGGTTGGATCATCATATTCAATGAGTAATCATCAATGGCTCAATGTCTAGTTGCGAGGAAGTATCAAGTGACATTCCCCAGGGATCTGTCCTGGGTCTCATATTGTTTAATATCTTCATTAATTATTTAAATGATGGGATTGAGTGCATGCTTAGCAAATTTCTAGTAGGAGGAGTTGCAGACAATCCAGAAGGTAGGGCTAGGATCCAGAATGACCTGGACAGACTGGAAAAATTACCTGTGATCAATCAGATAAGATTCAACAAGGACAAGTGCAAAATCCTGCACTTGGGACAGAATAACTGTATGCACAAATACAGACTGGGGAATGAGAGACTAGGTTGCAGTACTACAGACAAGGACTTAGGGGATACAGTAGACCATAAGCTGAAAATAAGCCAACAGTGTACTCTTGTTGCAAAAAGAGTACTGGGTTATATGAACAAGGGTGTCACTTGCAAATTGTGGGATGTGATTCTTCTTTATTCAGCACTGGTGAGGTTTTACTTGGAGTGAGGCTCTCCAGGTGTATCCAGGTATATCCCCTCCAGGTGAGGCCACTCCAGGCATATCCAGCTTTGGATCCCATACTTCAAGAAGGATGTAGACAGGTTAGAAAGAGTCCATCAGAGAGAAACAAAAATTATTAGATGTCTGGAAAGTTTGACATGTGGGGAAAGGCTGAAAGAACTAGGGTTATTTAGCCTGGAGAAGAGAAGACTAAGAGGGGATTTGATAGGTGTCCTCAAAGATCTGAAAGGTGATTATGAAGAGAATGGAGATGAGTTTTTTTCTGTGGCTGTAGGGGACAGAACTAGGAGCAATGAACTCAAGGTGCAGCAGAGGAAATTTAGGTTGGAGATCAGGAGAAACTTTCTGATTATTAGGATGGTCAAGCATTGAAACAGACAATCTAGAGAAGTTGTAGAATTTCGGCCCATGGACATTTTCTAGAGCAAGTGGGAGAGACACTTGGTTGGGATGGTTTAGTTAGGGATGATCCTGCCTAGAGCAGGAGGCTGGACTAGATGACTTGTGAGGTCCCGTCCATAGCCCTACTTTCCTATGATCCTTTTATTTAACTATACTGAACAGCAGTGAAATAGTTAACAAAGATAACATTCAAATTGACTTTGTAGATTTCAGCATAAACATGTCATGACAACATGGAAGGAGCAGTGCACATGATACAATAATATTGTTTTAGGCCCTCTGCAGATTCCAAAAGCTAACAGAGCCTCATCTACCTTGGGGCTACATTCTGAATGTTTTGTTTTCCACCATAAGGGTGGCAAATATAGCTTTTATAAAATATAAATTGAGATTCTGGAATACAATTCTGTGGATCTGTAATACATGGTACTTTGACTGTGTTACACGTATTGCCAGATAGGACAGCTGATGCCAGTCCACTGGGGAGTGGCTGCAATAGGAGTGCTGAACCAGCTTAACGCCAGACCCTAACCACACTTTGTGTGTACAGGATTTTGATTTTTTTAAAATGTCAGGTGGAAAAATTCCCTCTTTTTGGAGCAAAATAAAATAATGCATCCAACTATAGCAGTTGAGCTCTCCCTCTCTGCAAACTGCAGGTCCAATATTGCTGAAAGCGGGGCACAGTGCTCTCTGGTTTGTTCTATTTCATCAATCCAAAGCTTGGTGCTGGCTGCTTTGAGAGGCTAAATCTACCTGTGAGTGCTAAGAAATTGTTTCTATTCTTCTATATATTTTGTACAACTGCCCTACCCTCCTGCTCAGCATTCTTTATGCTTTAATTTTTCTGTCTCCATTGCTGCATTTTTGAAACCAGATATTCCAGAATATGGTTCCAAAAAGATAAAGAGAACTCCAAATACAAATACCATTTGGAATCTGAGCAACTTCCTGATGTTACCGGAGAGTACAAAGATGAAGGGGGCATATATTTTGACTGCAGCTAAAGTTAGGAGACTGTTTTAAAGCAAATTTAATGTTAATGCCATCTAACCTTAAGAAGTCCACCCCAACATTCTTCAAGATCACTGTGGTTGCATAGGTGCAGCCTTCCTTCAGCACCCCAAAGGTCACTTGAGCAGGGATGAGAAGGAAGCCACTAAGACACTTTGTCGCTGTTTCATGAGATGATATGTTGACTCTTCCACCAATAGGATGTTCTATCTTTGCAAACAAGAACAGCAAATTAGATAACAGAAGAGGGTAGATAAATAATAAAAAAACAAAGATATAATGGAAGATGTATAATGGAAACTATGAAACTATGATGTAGTTGCCACTGAAGAGCTTATCTGACATACTAACTAAGGCTAATACTTTGAAATTTGGAACCCTAAAAAGTGTAGGGCACATTGATTCCTGTTTAAAAGCTGGGATGGAGGTGGTTTGTTTTTCAGAAATGTTGAGCAATTCAAGTCAAAGAGAACTGAGGGCATTCAGCAGTTCAGGAAATCAGATCATTGTTATTGCTCTAATTAAAGCACATACTCCAGCCCTGGAGCATGTGTAAAGACACCCAAAGATTTTCTTTTACCTTTTCATTTGGTTTAGACTCTGGCTTACACCCCTTGATAGATGATGGCAATTTAACCTTTTTTTTCTTTGGCTTCCCAGAAGCATCCACCATCAGGCTCTGTGTTTGAGGCTGGAAGGGTATCTCAGATGTTCTCACAGCTCTACTCAGTTCTACCAGGAAGAAAATATTTCCAACAACAATGCTGAATTTTTCACCAAGACAGTCTAATTCTGCAGTTCTTGTGCATCACCACAGTGAAAACTAGAACTGCTGCAATGGAAGTGATGAAAAAAAATTTACATCCTAAACTGGTAGCATTAAAATGTTTAGACTCTTTGTAGATGCGATTTGAACAACAACAAGGAGAATGACAGAAGACATTTGTGACCAACTGTTATATTTCTCTACATGTCTGTATTAAAGCATGACATCCAACTGACAATGCAACCACTATTTTGAAGAATGAAACCTTGGACATATTTTTGTATCTGCCAGGAACTGTTATGCACAAGTACAGGCAGTTTATTGTCATGGCTGACACTGTCCTGAAATAAGAGGTATTTGGTGATATCTTTTATTGGACCAACAGTATAGTTGGGAGATATGTTAGACAAGCTTTCAGGCATAAAAAGCCCTTTTTCAGTCTTCAAGTGACCTGAGGAAGGGCATTTTGTGCTTGAAAGCATGTCTAACATCTTTTCCATCCGTGTAGTTGGTCCAATAAAACTTATCACCAAAAAAAATCTTCTGATATATTTCCTAGATCAACACTGTGGCAGAATGCCATCTCTGTCTCTCCCCAAAACTTTGCTATGGGACAATTTGGTTACCAGGGTCACTGCAAAGGGCAGACTCCTCTGCCCCATCTCTTTAGGTAACCCTGAGTTGTAACCTGAGCTGGATACATTCCTGAGGGAGGGGGGAAACCTGTTCCCTCTGCTTACGTGGGCTTAAGATCTCTATTGTTCTAAGCAATGCCAACCTCACTGTGAGGGGGCTAAAGACCCTGCCAGTCTACCTGGCAGCCAGTGATGCATTTAAAATTCGTTGGCTGGCAGCCAAGAGTTGCTGGCTTTAATTGGATCAGGTAATTGAGGTCACAAGGTCTATATAAGTTAAGGATTGCCCAGGAGGAGGAGCAGTAGTCATAATGAAAACTCACAGAGAGAACCTGGACCATCTGAAACTTATTCTCTCTCACGAAACTCATGATCAATGAACTGCTTGCTTCCAGAGGGAATCTCCACCTGCCTCTGGATGATGCTTGTGAGTAAGCTACCTGAGATCTAACTAGATATATAGCTTACAGTAACTCAGATAAGTGACTAAAGGCTACCATGCCACTTTTCTCTAAGGGATTTCTCTGATATTGCTCTACCCTGTACTCTATTCCAAACCTATTCCTTGTAACTAATGAAGTTCTCCTTTGTACTTAGCATGGGAGACTTATTGGGAGAGGATCTAGATTATGCCTTGGGGTCCCCTTGGTTCGGGTGACTACGGGAGACCACTATTTGTGCTTCAGACTAAGGGAAGCACCGCAAGTTCTTGCAGTGAGTCAAGCACTCTCAAGGACTACTAGGCCTGTGTTTCCCAGAGGGTGCAGGTCCCAGTTCAGTCCAGAATCTGGGTGGTGGCAGCATTACCCCCAGGCTAGCAGGTGTGCTCCAGGAAGGGGGTCAGCCAGATGTGAGGTGCCCCTAGGGAGGCCCCTAGGAAGGTTGGGTGCAGTGAGGTGGGTGGCTCAGTGCAGGAGCACCCCCTACTGGCACAGATACAACACCCCATATCTACGACTGCCCTGAGGAGCTAACTCATCAGTTGTGATCACCATGTCATTAAGGGTATCTAACCATAGGACAGTGATTTTGTTAGGAAGGAGCTGTGCTGTAGTGAGCTTAGGTCCCCTCTACATGTTACAATTATTAACTGGTTATTTAACTGTGCAATTAAACTGAAAAAAGCTACACGTGCAAAGTGTCTATCACACCATAAAAGGCTCTATCCAACCAGCTATAAAGTTAGACCTTGAAAATATGTACGAACTTTATAGCTGGTTGCTATCCATCTTTAAGTTGCATGTGCAGCAGGGTCTTCCCTGTGGCTATGAACCCCCATCAGCTAACCAGGCTCCCAGTGACAGGGGTGCACTATTCCCAGCAGAGCTGGCAGTCCTGTAGCTTAGGGAACTCTTAGCCCCTACCCTGTCTGGCAGCTGCATTCAAGGTTCCCTCCAAGCTGCGCATGTGTGCAGCCATACACAATTTAATACCACGCTGTGTACTAATTTATTAACATCATGCACCCGCCAGGAGAGGAGCTGGGCTGCGGCGTGGCAAGGCGGGGGCTGGTGTGGGCTCTGCCGGCACCAGGGAACTGTTCTGCTCCCCAGCCCCGAGGCCCTGTGCCTCCTCACTCCTGGAGGTGAGGCAGGGGCAGACGCTGGGGTTAGGGGCTGCCTCTGGGAAACTGCTCCACTCCCCAGACCCAAGGTCAAGTGCCTTCTCACTCCTGGAGGCATCCTGCTTGCTAACTGTGGCCTCTCCCCTGTGCATAGCTACATAGCCTGCAGAGCTATGAGAAAGAAGCTGTTTGTGAGAGTTTGCAACATTGCTGAGATGAGATGCTCTGTGCTGGGGTTGTACATTGCCTGGACTCAGATCAGGGGCTGGGCAGGTAGGTAGGTACCTACCTACTGCCGCCAGGTGGTTCAAGCACCTACTTTGAATGCCTTCAAGAGACATTTGGATGCCTATCTTGCTGGGATCCTATGATCCCTGCTGACTTCCTGCCCCTGGGCAGGTAGGTAGTTACCTAGGTAGCACTAACCAAGCCTCCTGTCCCTGCTTGCTCCCCTGGGACAGGTGGGCTGCTGGGTGCTGGCTGCAGGCAGCCTGCCCTCTCCACCCAGTTTCCATGGCTTCCCACCTGCTGCCATGGCCAGAACCCATTGTCCCCACTTTTCTTCCTGAAGGCCAGCCACTGTCCTGTGCTGTTGTCAAGCCCATGCTGCCTGGGCTCAGGGGGTGTGGAACTCTTGGATGACTGGGACATGGAGCTTGCTGTGCCCCCACCCTCTCTGTAGGGGGCCTCTCTGGAGAGGCACCCTAGGGCCAGCACTCCCCCAAGGTGGCACTGTGTCCAATTGTGCTCCTACTGCACGTCACAGGCAGTGCACAAAGAACTGTTTGCATGGACTGAGGGGTGCCCAACCCACTACATCCTTCTACTGATTGCCATGGTGTCCTGGTCACACCTGCACATCTGGCACAGGATACTTAGCTTTGATGGTGTGGGGGGCAAGCCTGGGCTGCCCCACAGCCTCTGCCACCACCTGGAAGGCTACCTGTGGCTGCATTACACATCCCTGCCCCCCACTGAGGAGGACATCTCTTCTAGCTTTGATGTGTTCCTCAGCATATGAGAGGCCCATGCAAGGTTCCCTCCAAGGTTCCCTCCAAGCTGCGTGCATGCACAACCATGCACAATTTAATACCATGTAGCATACTAACTTATTAACACCATGCACCCACCCGGAGAGGAGCTGGGCTGCGGTGCAGGAAGGCGAGGTGCGAGCTGGGGCTGGCATGGGCTCTGCTGGCACCAGGGAACTGCTCTGCTCCCCAGCCCTGAGGGCATGTGCCTCGTCACTTTCAGAGGTGAGGCGGGGACAGGTGCTGGAGATGGCTGGGGGCTGCCGCTGGGAAACTGCTCCACTCCCCAGCACCGAGGCCATGTTCCTCCTCACTCCCAGAGACAAGGTGGGGGTGGGGGCTGGGGCTGGGGCTGGCACAGGCTCCACCAGTTCCGGGGAACTGCTCCACTCCCCAGCCTCGAGTGCATGTGACTCCTCACTCCCAGAGCAGGGACACGTGCAGAGCTTGGCTTCCCCAGATCTCAGATTAAATGCTGCAGGCAGCAGCGGCTCAAGGCAGCCAAGAGTGTACCCTGACATTTCACTCCTCTTCAGACAGCACGTTTCATAGATTCATAGGGCTGGAAGATCTTTGAGTCCAGCCCCCTGCCCAAGGGGCAGGAAGTCAGCAGGGATCATAGGATCCCAGCAAGATAAGCATCCAAATGTCTCTTGAAGGCATTCAAAGTAGGTGCTTGAACGACCTCTGGTGGCAGTCTATTCCAAACCTTGGGGGCTCGGACAGTAAAGAAGTTCTTCCTTATGTCCAACCTAAAACGGTCATGGAGGAGTTTGTGACCATTCGACCTTGTCATCCCTTGGGGCGCTCTGGTGAATAGGCATTCCCCCGGATCCTGGTGAGCACCCCTGATAAACTTATAGGTGGCCACCAGATCACCCCTGAGCCTGTGCTTTTCTAGGCTGAAGAGTCCCATGGCTCTCAGCCTCTCATCATAAGGTCTGTTTTCCTGACCTCTGATCATGCATGTGGCTCTCCTCTGGACTCTCTCAAGCTTCTCCACATCCTTTTTGGAGCCCAAAGCTGGATGCAGTACTCCAGCTGCGGCCTCACCAAGGCCGAGTACAATGGGAGAATGACATCCTGGGATTTACTCGAGAAGCATCTATGGATGCAAGCCAGCATTTTGCTCACTTTACTAGCTGCAGCATCATATTGAAGGCTCATGTCATCTTGTGGTCAATTATGACCCCCAAGTCCCTTTCGTCCATAGTGCTAACCAGCATAGCACTGCCAAACCTATTAGCATGCTGCAGGTTTTTCCTCCCAAGGTGGAGAACCTTGCATTTTTCGGTGCTAAACACCATCAGGTTCTCGTTCGCCCATTTTCTGAGCCTGTCAAGGTCTGCCTGGATCACCCTCCTGTCCTCAGGTGTGGATGCTTTACCTCAGAGTTTGGTGTCATCAGCGAACTTAGCCAGTCTGCTTCTGACACCAATATCTACATCATTAATGAAGATGTTAAATAGTATAGCCCCTAGGACAGAGCCTGGAGGGACCCCACTGGTCACAGGGCACCACAACAATTGACTCCCATCAACCACCACTCTCTGGGACCTACCAGGCAGTCAATTCCCCAGCCAGCAGATTCTGGTGTGGCCAAGGCTGCAGTTAGCCAGTTTTGCCAAGAGGTGATCATGGGATACCAGATCGAAGGCCTTTTCGAAGTCAAGATATATGACATCAATCTCCTCTCCTTTGTCCAGGTGATAGGTCACCTGGTCGTAAAAGGAAAT